ACTCCAGGACGGTGAGCTTGATCGATCAGATGCTACAATGCAGGACGGTTGAGGCATCACTGGGGACGTCAACGTGTACCAGATTTGTCAGCAGAGGCACACCGCAGGGCGGAGTCCTCTCGCCCCTCCTATGGAACGTGGCAGTGAACACACTGCTGCGGGAGATAGAGGGAGGTGGCTGCCGCGTGGTGGCGTACGCGGACGACGTTGCCATAGTTTTCTCCGGAAAATTTCCGCAGACGTTGTGTGAGTGCATGACAAGTACTCTCACGAAAATGTCGAAATGGGCAGACAAATGCGGGTTAGGCGTCAACCCGTCTAAAACGGAACTGGTGCTTTTCACTAGGAAGTACAAAGTTCCGGCACTGATTCCCCCAAGACTATGTGGGGAAACGCTAGTCTTCAGCAACAACGCCAAGTATCTTGGCCTAATCCTCGATAGAAAGCTCGATTGGAAACTGAGCATAGAGGATAGAGTAAAGAAGGCCACAGTGGCCCTCTATACTTGCAGGAAAGCCATCGGACTAAAATGGGGAATGACCCCATATATAGTTCGGTGGCTCTACACCGCCATCATACGACCAATCATGCTCTATGGAGCGGTGGTATGGTGGCCAGCCTTGGACAAAAGGACAGGCCTCAATAAACTCAGCAGAGTTCAACGCATGGCAGAGCTATGCATAACTGGCGGGCTACGCACTACTCCAGGGGAAGCCCTGGATACTGTGCTGGACCTCCTCCCGGTTGATCTCATGGGAAAGAAGGTGGCAACACTTTCCGCCCTCCGAATGAGAGAAGCCAGACTGTGGAAAGCATCCGCGGTTGGGCACTCGGGAATCCTGATGAGACTCCCGCAATTACCAGAGAGGACAGATTACTGTATCCCCAGTGATCACCTCTCGACGCCCTTCCAGGTATCAATCCCATCTAGGGAGGACTGGGAGATGGGCGAACCAAGGCCTGCAAATGCGGTCCACTTCTACACTGATGGCTCAAAGCTAGACGGCCGCGTGGGAGGCGGAGTCTACTGCAGCGGGCTGAACATCAGTCATTGCTTCAGGCTCCCGGATCACTGTAGTGTGTTCCAAGCGGAGGTTGAAGCCATCAAGGAGGCCATTTCGATCGTCTCCAAACTACTCCTAGATACGCACTTAGTGTGCGTCTTCTCGGACAGCCAAGCAGCTATCAAAGCTCTAGGCTCATTATCGTCGAACTCAGCGACTGTAAATGACTGCCGCAGGTCTCTGCACGAGATCGCAGAGCAGTTAGATCTCTTCCTTATATGGGTCCCTGGCCACAGGGACATCGAGGGGAATGACGCCGCCGACGAGCTAGCCAGGCAGGGTACTACGATTCCTCTCCTATCGGAGAGGGAGCAAGTAGCGATGCCCTTGGCTACGTGCAGCAGAGCACAGTGCTCTGCAGTTACTAGAGCCATTACGGGACACTGGCAGATCGGCACTCACGCCTCTAGACTGTCAATCCCTCATAACGACTTCTGCAGGAGTTGTCGCGACGAGGAGGAGGAGGAATCGGTCCCCCACTTCTTCTGCCACTGCCCAGCCCTTGGAAATCGTCGTCTTCGTATTCTCGGGGCCGCTTTCCTCACGGACATTTCGGACCTATCCGTAATCAAACCAGGGACCTTGTCCAAATACATCCAAGCCACCGGATGGGACTGCCCTTAACCTGCAGTAGTATGCTCTCACGGTTCGGGCAACGCGAAGGGGCACATGCCCATGCGGCAACACAACGGACCTGTTTATAGGTCCAAGTGAGCTTGGGGGCGGGAGGCTCTTATCCTCTGTAAATAATATGAAACAATACAATATGGATCAACAAATGCCAAAGAAGTGGGTTAACTCGAAAAATTTGGCCACCATTCTGGTCTACCCGATGGAGTCCCTCGTGGATACGGTGGTGGAAGCGGATGTGCTCTGAGCTCTTTAAGAAACTTGAAGCGACTCCGATGCCAGTAAGGATCTGGTAATGCCCCGGCTTTTAATATAATTTACAGGTGAATTCTCACAGATAGGGGCTATGGGAATATTTTTCCAATCTTATTTTACTTTATCAATGATCTTTTAACTTTACTGATAATAGAAATAGGCTCACCCTTTCTTCCAGTAATTAATGAGAGTATAGGGGAACAGTCCCCTATATGGTATATTATTATACATTTTTATCATCATTAATGTGTGCTCTGTGGCCCAGTAATGAATAAGTGCACTAGCCCTGGTTCTTGATAACATAACCGAATCTTATCATACAATGAAATGTGGTCGGGGCTATGTTTTCGGTACACACCGGTGGAAGTGCGACTACACTATCCCCGTGAGGCCGGCTGGAAACAGGTCCTGGCACGGTCATGTCTCTGCCAGGATGCTGGCGAATGGTAGTCGGGCGGAGAGAAGAAAACTCTCAGTGAAATTACCCCAATCCAAGGAGACACTGTTATATGCCGAGGGATGCATGGCCGGGGGGTGCCCGGTTTCCCGTTTTCGTCGGTTATATTCGTTTGGTGTCAGTAGGATCCAACTATCAATTAAGACAAAGTCATGCCTCGCAAATCAATTTAGCGTCGATCGTTGTCTGTGCATACGTATACACAACATCCATTCTTCAGAACTACAGCGGTGAAATTTTTCGTTTTCGCTTGTCACCATTGCTGTTCGTTGCTATTCTTGTGTGGTTTTCGTATACGCACCAGCCAAGCGACGATCTACCCTAAATTTGTCGGGTATATTGGTTTTCACCTCGTTTGGTGAGTCAATATTTTTCGTTGTGAAAAAGGTAGCCCCAATTTATGTGATTTCAAAAGTAAATCGGTAAACTTTGTAATAGTGATAATCGGAGCCTGGCTGAATAATTAATAAATATAAGTTTTTGATCCGCCGTGCAGTCCTCTTGGTCGTCAAAGCGCCAGGAGGCTGATATAGAGTCCTTGTTCATGTCACTATTCCTCGCCACTGGGGCCGCTGATAACACACCATCCCCGCTGTCTATGGCGGGTATGCTATAGGCTATGTCAATGTCGAAGTGTCCAGAGCTGGACAAGAGGCTCACTTTGAGTCATTTGCCACCGAACGTTTGATGCTGTGACTTCTGCTTTCGATCTGGAAAAAGTTAAAGAATGATCAGGGGATCTGCTAATCCTCCTTACAAAGTTAATTTAATGCGTGATCGGGTCATAGTCCATGGCACGGCACATGTGTAATCATATTTAGGAATGCCAGAAATTCTTCAGTTACAAAGGTTCAGGGTTAACTGGTCCGAAAAGCGGGGGAAGAATATTTTCTGGGGGCCGACAATCGAGCTCCTCTTCGCTGCTCCTTACCTCTAGATCCATTCCCGAGTCGTTGAACAGCTGAGCGTGCTTTATTTAGCTTCATCGTGTCGACCTATTGAACAGATACGTCTGCAAGATGCGCGTCATGATTTTCCTTTAGTCCAGCTGTTTTCGTAATCAAAAGAGTATATCACATTTCTAAGGCAGTGAATCGATTTCTTTGAAATTTATGATTTTGAATCGTTTCTACAATATTTACATTTTGCTAATGGTAACGGCTACGGCTACTGTCCCCACTCGTTCCAAATGGGGGGCTGCAAGGCCCTTTCATTCAAATTCAAAATCCGCCTGCTGTGAAATTGCAGTGAAACAAGGTATGTTCGAATGTTCACCAAGGTATTGCCTGTTTTTTCCCATGAAAATTACTGCTCATTTTTTTCGTTGCAGGGGAGAGCAGCAGTGTGACCGTCTAACCACTAACCATACAGTATAGTGTATGGTTACAGTATGGTTAGTGGTCTAACCCTCCGAAATACCGCAAATATACCGATGAAAAACCAAACTTATCCCATTTAAGCGCCATTTATTTAAACAATATAACAACTTGAGTTAAACCACTAACCACACTGTATGGTTAGTGTTTAATCCGCGGAAAATAATACTGTTTGTAAATTATTTTTGTAGATCCATCCTATCCTTCCCCTTTACTTGCAAAAAAAACCACGAAATCTTCCACCATCTATGCTGAACTACTTCAGTGGAGTTTATTTTAGTACAAGCTGGTCGATAATGGGTTAATCGTTCTCTGTCCAATCATATTCCTCGATTTTGACCGACACCCCTAAACACATAATTTTATCTGATTGATGAATAACTTTTCTACAAGATTGGCCAATTTTGAGGACGCCTTTCTATTGTATTGTTTATAAAATAATATTTAAGCAAAAAAGGTTAAAGCATAAAACGTAAATGAGCATAAAGTGAAACGTAAGTGAAATGTTACGCTTATTTACTTTAATTAGTATTAAAACTCTGTTTTCCAAGCTGATTTAAATCATTACTAATTCAATTTACTATTTCAAATAGAGACTGTTTCGGTAATATGTACTTGTAAAAACAATAATAAAATCAAAAATATGAATGCTTCAATGCTAAAAGAGATCTTAGTTGGTAAACATTCCCCGAATGTAAACAAAGTTCGGTTAAAATTCTCGACCAACGTCGTAAAAAGTCGCTCGATTTCTCGCTCCCCCCGCCGTCTAGCAAGGTGTATAGATCGCTCTCATCCTCCCACTCCCACTCTTCCTCGCTATCTTCCTCCCACTCGTCCGCGCTGACTTCATATGACATTTTATAGTGGATAATCAAATACGGTTTATCAAGGTCAGTCATCTAAAACAAAGTACGGAAGCACAAATTGAGAGTTTAGGGATGTCAAAAAATTGTCAAAAACGAGTCAACGCAAAGTTCACAAAAAACTGAAACAAGCAATCCATGCCCCCAAAAACCCCAAATGTCAAATTCGATGTCATATGACACTGCTGAAAAAATATCAGTATAGTTCGGAGCGTCCGGAGTTAAACACACAAAAATAAAATTTAAATTTTTTAGAAATATTTATTTTGGATTAATTTATTCAAATAAGTTTAAGCATAAAGTGATTCGTTTTTTTTTTACTAAAGTTAAGCATAAAGTAAACTTACACGTGTTTGTACATGTGTGCATATTCCTACAGGCCACATACACAGGCGGGAAAGAGTCATCTGTTCTGTCAATCGTCCAATCTCTCAATCGTTCTACTGGTACATCTGACATACGACATATACTCGTAATACGTAAAGACTGAACACGAAACTACAGGTTAGTATTATTAAACAAAATTTGAACTTTATGTTGAAACAAATAATTCGCCATCCAACAGGTCCGCACATTTCACACGACACACGACCCCATCAATTTAAGCGACTAACACAATTCAAGTGTAGATCTGGTGCACACAAAATAGTTTAGTAACAGTCAACACAAAAAACTACAGGTTCGTTTTATTGAAGAAAAATATAAACTTAATTTACGATTAGACTAATGCGCTGACTATTCAAACAGGTAAACACATTTCCTCCTGATATCGGATCGGGTTAGGGGTCTGGGGTCAGGATCTTCGAAGTGAGCGTATCTTGAACGTATCTCTTCAATAGTATCAGCAGAGCTCGAGGTGCTTGTGCTCCTACTGTTCGAAAGCATGTCGGCATATCTCTAGTTCAAAGGAAATAAAGGACAATGAAGTTAATATATTTTGATAAACTTGAGAATTATATATTTTTATACAAAATGAAACATAGAGGTGTGTGGTTATTTCAGGGATAATTATATGCAACCAGGTACAAGTGCTTATCATACGAATCATGTTGGGGCATGGCGCAGGTTTCTTTTCCCAGAGAATTCGCTGGATAATGTCCAACACTCGTTCAGTGTCCTGGGATGGATGCGACGCGCCTCTGCTGTGCCATTGTCAGGGATAATTGCCAATTGACCAAATGGAGAGTTCTGGCCCCGGTTCCTGCTCCTGATTCTGAAGCTGAACCCAAGAAACGTTAAAAGTAAATGGAAATGCAATTTTATTTATGGTTATGCACAAAATTTTTTTCTTCTTAGTCCGATGGCCGTCAGTCATCGGGTGCTACAGGGGGACAAACGGATGACGGGTCGGCTCGCACAACTGTGAACTCGGAACTGAGGCGCAGCCGCTCCGGTTAGTAATACCCGGTGCGGTCTGCGTCTCACACCCCCCTAGGACACAGAGGGTTGCGAGCGAACCGTCACCCGCCGTAACTGTGCACACCGGTGGAAGTGCGAGTATACTCTCCCTGTGAGGGCGGCTGGAAACAGGTCCTAGCACGGTCATGTCTCTGCTAGGATGCTGCCGAATGGTAGTCGGGCGGAGAGAAGAAAACTCTCAGTGAAATTACCCCAATCCAAGGTGACACTGTTATATGCCGAGGGATGCATGGCCGGGGGGGTGCCCGGTCGCTAATATGCGGACTCTGGATACCTGCCGACCTCCAGTTTAAATCAGGCTTCCCGGGGCAAGCGGGCTATGCCTCGGGTGACCATCCCCTTCCCGCCTACTCGTGGGAATAACTATGCCAAATAATAATAAACATATAAAAACAAACAAAGCCGCAAAGGAGCTCGGTACTCCTCTTAAAGTACCGGAGGGACAAGCCAATCCCTCTGCACTGAGTCGGTCCACCGTCTTCAGGCAGCAGCCGCAGCGAGGGGGGGCCCGAAAAGCCAATTGGGTCCTTCCAAGTCGGGTGGCTCCAAGGGCGAAGCGGATACCGGGGTGGCTGCCAAGCAGAGCGTAATCGCGGCTGGTAAGCGCACCGGGACCGAAGAACCCTTGGGACCCCCGGCGGGCAGCGTCTCTGCACCACGGGGAGGAAAGCCGTCGTACCAGGCCAGGAGACGAGCGGCCTTCATCCTGTCCAACGAAGACCCGAATTTCAAGGCGTCAGCCGAAGGAAAGGAGCAGAGGCTGTGGGCCTGCTCAATCCTTCCTCTGTTCCAGCCAGCCAAAGCCGGAATTGGCGCAGCCAAAGCCCCCAACAAGCGGCAACGCTCAGCGGAGGACCCCGCAAATCAGCCAGGTCAAGCCCAGCAAGCCAAGCGAGTGAAGACCCACCTCACGAACCGGTCGTTCGCTGAGGTGGCGAGGGGCAAGACCCTGATCGGTGTCCTGGACAGGGGCGCCGAGGACGGCCATGTCCCCCGCGATAAGTGGCACCTGGTGGAGAACGAGCTCCAGGACCGGTTCCTGCTGGAACTGGAGGAGAACGGCGGACCACCGCCAAAGTGTGAGGACGCAGGGTGGCATCAAGGCAAGGTGAAAGCCATCGCCTGCCAAGACGCTCGCTATGCGGCCCTCTACATGAAGGCGGTGGCTGCACTGAAAGAGGTCTACCCAGGGGCGAAACTGGAGGCCGTGAGATGGGAGGATGTTCCCAGCCGCCCGAGAGCCAGAGCATGGGTATCGGCAAAACCTGCAGAACCTGAGAAAATCCTCAGGCTTCTGCAGGTCTGCAACCCCCACCTTCCCACAGCCGATTGGAAGGTGGCCAAGGTAGAGGACATCCAGGGGCAGAGGCGCCAGATTAGCCTCGTCCTAAATGAGGAGTCGCTAGAGCCCCTCGCCAAAACGGACGGTGTGGTCGACTACGGATACAAAAAGGTCACCATTACCACCTATAAGTCGGATCGCAAGGGCAGGCAAGCGGAGGTCGAGCCAGACCCGGAGCTGCCGAAGATCCCGAAAGAGGGGGCCTCGTGCGAGGAAAACAACCCGGCGTCGGATGCGGCGTCCATGATGTCGGACGACATCCTGGACGACTACGCGTTCGACGAGTGCGACCTAGCCAGAGGTCTCAGCCATATCGTTGTCGGGGAGGAGCCAGATTCCCCCGACAGCGATCTAGAAGCAACAATGGTGGAGGTGAGACTCAGGAATGTCACTGACGATCCTGCAGATAAACCTCCACCATTGTAAGGCAGCATGCCCTGCTCTACTGCTCCACCTGGCCAAGGGTGGGGCCGACATAGTCCTCATTCAGGAGCCCTGGATCCTCGGAAACAGGGTCTCCGGTCTGAGGACTTCTGACTACAAGCTATATGTAGCTGAAACCGCAGGTAAAATTCGTACCTGCATTCTTGCAAAAAGAGAGTTGCACTTATTTTTGCTCCCAAATTTCAGCAATGAAGACCACACTGCAGTGAGCCTCGAAGGCCAGGAGCGCTCACTGAGGATCTGCTCCGCATACATGGGGCATGATCAACCAGACCCCCCTCCACACGCGCCTCTTCGGGCTCTAATCGAATGTTCGGCCAAAGACATCGGCCTAATTGTGGGGTGCGACGCCAATGCACATCACTGTCAGTGGGGAAGCACTGACACAAAGGAAAGGGGTGAGTACCTTTTCAGTTACTTACTGACCACTCAGATGGTCTTATTAAACCGCGGTAGTGATTCCACCTTTATTATTAAAAACCGTAAGGAAGTCCTGGACCGCACGCTTGCCTCTCATGAGATACAGAGTAACATTGTATCCTGGAGGGTCCTGGAAGATCACTCCTTCTCGGACCGCAGGTACGTGGAAACTGTTTTCTCCTTCTCAGTACCGAAGCCAGTTCGATTCCGGAACATCAGGCTGGACTCGATACTCTGATTACCTCTGTCGTGTTCTCTCCGAGCCCCCATCTGAGGAGGAGTTCACCACGGAGGCAACGACCAGTCTTCTTAAGATCTTTACCGACGCCTGCAATAAGGCGCTCGACAAAGCATGCCCCTCTTTCAAGAACAGAGGCCGGAGGAAACCTGAATGGTGGGATCCGAAACTGGATGAACTCCGGAAAGCCTCCCGGAGACTCTTCAATAAAGCTAAGGCTGAGAACGTTGAGCAAAGCTGGGCCGAATACAAGGCCAGTCTGTCAATCTACAACAAAGAACTTAGAAAAGCCAAACGCGCCTCCTGGCGTAAGTTCTGCAGCGAAATCGAGAGTAACTCAGAAGCCTCGCGCTTGCGCAGAGTTCTCTCGAAGACAACACACAACCTGGGCTACTTGAAGAACACCGACCAGTCGTGGACTACGTCCAGCGATGAATCGCTAAATCTTCTCCTAAATACTCACTTCCCTGGCTGCGATGAAAACAGACCCAACTACTTCGCGCCACCTTCTGTCGTCTCAAATGCCCTCCTGAGCCTGCTAAGCCGGGAGAACATCTCCTGGGCGATCAGAAGTTTTAAACCTTACAAATCCGCGGGCCCAGACGGCATATTCCCTGCCCAACTGATTCACGCGGGACTTAAAGCCATTAACTGGCTCAAAATAATTTACGAGGGAATCTTTTACCACGGGTGCATTCCTGACACCTGGCTTCAGACCAAAGTCGTATTCATACCCAGGGCAGGCAAGCCCTCGCACACTGCCCCAAAAGATTTTAGGCCCATTAGTCTATCGTCTTTTCTTCTAAAGGCGATGGAACGGCTCCTGGGGCTGCATCTCACAGCGTCTATTCCGTGGCAGTGAACACACTGCTGCGGGTGATAGAGGGAGGGTGGCTGCCGTGTGGTGGCGTATGCGGACGATGTTGCTATAGCACTCTCCGGAAATTTTCCGCAGACGTTGTGTGAGTGCATGACAAGTACTCTCACGAAAATGTCGAAATGGGCAGACAAATGTGGGTTAGGCGTCAACCCGTCTAAAACGGAACTAGTGCTTTTCACTAGGAAGTACAAGGTTCCGGTACTGATTCCCCCTAGACTATGTGGGGAAGCGCTAGTTTACAGCAGCAACGCCAAGTATCTTGGCCTAATCCTCGACAGAAAGCTCGACTGGAAATTGAGCATAGAGGACAGAGTAAAGAAAGCCACAGTGGCCCTCTATACTTGCAGGAAAGCCATCGGACGAATGACCCCCTATATAGTCCGGTGGCTCTACACCGCCATCATACGACCAATCATGCTCTATGGAGTGGTGGTATGGTGGCCAGCCTTAGACAGAAGGACATGCCTCAATAAACTCAGCAGAGTTCAACGCATGGCAGAGCTATGCATCACTGGCGGGCTACGCACTACTCCAGGGGAAGCCCTGGATACTGTGCTGGACCTCCTCCCTGTAGATCTCATGGGAAAGAAGGTGGTAACACTTTCTGCCCTCAGAATGAGAGAAGACAGACTGTGGAAGGCGTCCGCGGTTGGGCACTCGGGACTTCTGATGAGCCTCCCGCAATTACCAGAGAGGACAGATTACTGTATTCCTAGTGATCACCTCTCGACGCCCTACCAGGTATCAATCCCACCTAGGGAGGACTGGGAGACGGGCGAACCAGGACATGCAAATGCGGTTCACTTCTACACTGATGGCTCAAAGCTAGACGGCCGCGTGGGAGGCTGAGTCTACTGCAGCGAGCTGAAAATCAGTCATTGCTTCAGGCTCCCGGACCACTGTAGTGTGTATTATAGTCTCCAAACTACGTCTAGACACGCACTTAGTGTGCCTCTTCTCGGACAGCCAAGCGGCTATTAAAGCTCTAGGCTCAATATCGTCGAAATCAGCTACTGTTAATGACTGCAGCAGGTCTCTGCACGAGATCGCAGATCAGTTGGATCTCTTCCTTCCTTCCCCGGCCACAGGGACATCGAGGGGAACGACGCCGCCGACGAGCTAGCCAGGCAGGGTACTACGATCCCTCTCCTATCGGAGAGGGACAGGTAGCGATGCCCTTAGCTACGTGCAGGCTCCTAACGCACGAATTGTTCGAGCAAAATGCCAATAGGAGA